GAACTGTTTTTTATTAATCCCGTTTTAGACCATTGCGGCACCTGCAAATTTACTCTACGTCAAACTGTTCTTTATTTTCGTAACGTCCGACGTAAAAAGTTATACGAGCTGTGTATCAGATGCACGAATCACGAACTGGTGCTTGTAATCACGCATCTAACGTCCGTCAAATGGTGATGGGTGGACGTGATTTGCTGTAAAAGCTCTACCTCAAGCCTCGCTTGTCGTAAGAATTCATCACCTACCTATTACTCCTATACAATTTAAATATGCAGTTGCTCGAATCGAATAAAGAAAAATACAATTAATTTGTCTATTACACATTAATTAAATAATTTGCTGTCTAGATCATTTCATTGTTCTTATTTAGTACCTATATAGGATGTATACGTTTTAGTGATCCAGACTTGGCTTTAAAATTAATATTCCAGACTTAGCTTTAAAATGAATATTAGAGCGAACACAAAATATTAGAACACCCTGTAACTTTTTAATAAATGAATTTAGTTTCACGAAACTTCAGAAAATTACGTATATTTGATGTATTATTTATATGTACGACATAAGCTTCTTTGATCATATATCTTATTAAAATACGACCTGAGACAGAATTAATAAGTAATCCCTACAAAAGGTTTTGACTAAATAATCCCGAAGACAACACACAAGGCTTAACTGGGGAATAATTTATTGTCCCTACCACCAAATAAACGTTAGTGTTATGACAAACTGAAACATAAAATCGGAACAAATTTAGTCGCGTCATAAAATATAATTCGGTAAGCAGAAATAGTACATATGGGGAAACAAAATTCCCGAACGCGCTATAAAACATATTGGTTGTAAAATGTATATTTAGTAAAAATAATAAAAACAGTCATTGTAGTCTTGGCTCTTGCCGGCAATTTTATGAATGTGTTGTCTTGTGCATTTGTTGTGTTTTTGTTTGATACATGTCTAAGCACTCAGACTGCCGGAATAGGTTTTGGCTTTTGGTGAAGCTCTAAAATCTTCTATAAAATTTTACGATTCACAAAAATAACTTCGTTGCACTTATCCATTACCTTCAGTCTTCCAGCACACGTAATTGTGTGATGTTCTGGTGCCATTCCAGATATTACTTCAAAATATGAAATAAAATTTGTTGTAGCTCAGGTACAGTGAGAATAATTCCGATCGTCCCCGAATACGGATTTGTTACTTATACAGGGTGTTTTTAAATGAAGTAGCAAAAATGGTACCAGTGAATGTAGAGCCAAAAATAAGAGGATTGAAGTAAAAATACCTTATATGAAAGTTGCACCCTTGAGGCGATATACCCTCTTAAAAGAGGGGATTGAAATTCACATTTTATTTTTTTTCTTTAACATGGGGAATGCTAGAGACACGAAACTTGGTATGTGTATCCTGTTAATAAAGAGACAACTTTTCAATATTTTTTTGATCATGGCGTATTTTATAAAGGAGTGAAACTGTCAACCCCATTGCAATATTTTATTAGAAATTTTTTATATGGGGCAAATTATTTATTTAAAAATATTTATTGGGAGACCGATTTATTGCGCAACTTTTATACCTCTTGTAATTTTTCGATAAAACCGATAGTTTTCTAGTAAAAAATTAGATGCGTCATCGTTCACTAAAGAGGTAATTGCGAAAATTTGTAAAAATAAAGTAGACGGATGTCATAACAAATAATTTGTTATTTATCATATTAATAAACTGACACTTTCTGTCAGTAAGCTGGTAATTTAATAATAATGAAGAATAATTTGCTATTAATTAATGAAACACGTTTGATAACTTATGGCTATGGGACATGTATTAGGGAAAGTTATTTATCTGAAATAAAATTTAATACAAACGAAAAACAAGAAATGCAAAATTAAATTTATAGAATATTCTCGAGATAATTTCCATTTTGCTGCAAGCATAACCTAATACGTCTGTTGATGTTATAACGCACTCGCACAAACAGTTCTTGGTTATTGCGAAAGTCATCTGCTGCCTGAAATATTCTTCAGCGTAGTTCTTCTAAGGAGGCAACAGGAGTGGCATAAACAATACTTTTTATGTGTCCCTACAAACAGAAATCCATAGGCGTTAGGTCAGGTGACCAATCCAGTGATTCGCGTAATTTAAATTTAACCATTCTCTAACAGCAAGTGTACTATGTATAGGCGCCCAATCGTGCATATACCACATCACCTGACTTCAAGTAATGTTGGAAGATTTATTTTCAGTCAAAAATCTAAAATACTCGGCCGCTCCAAGCCTATGTGGAAGAATAATGAACGAATAATGTTGAGCAATAAAGCTATTATTATTGTTAAATAAAAGGACCTACTAGAGTATTTCCTACAATTCCCATCCAACTGTTTAAACTGAAATTATGTTGACATCTTGAAACAAATATTTCATGAGTATTTTCATGAACATTATGGAGGTTTACTGCACCTACTCTAGGAAAATTTGCTTCATCGGTGAAAAGTACATTTATTAGGAAATTTAAGTTACGCCTGGAAATATTAAAGTACCATAGACAAAAATCCACGCAGTTAGGTAAATCAGGGTCATTCAATTCTTGCACGGGTTAATGGTGAAAAGGTATAAAAGATTTTCATGAGCTGCATTCCACACAAGACTGTGAGAAACTTGCAGTTGCCTGGACACCTGTCTTGTGCTTGTACCACAGTCTTGTTATAGATGTTCCAGTATAGCTTCCTCAGTTTCAACAGTTCGGACATTATGCCTTCTTCTAGCACCCTCACGATTGGGCTGAATTTTACCAGTTTCGCGAAGCCTTTTTTCCACGGAGGCCAATGCAAGAAAATTATGCAGAGGCCTTCTTGGAATTCTATTTCAACAAATATCGTACGGACTGTAGCTATGCAATATAAATTCACTAATCTAAGTCACTGGTAATAGATCCTGGTAAATCTAATAAACGGAATGCCTCAATTTCGCTTTGTTGTTTGAGTTTTACCTTTTAATTACTTCTTCTGAAGTATTCCGAGAGCAATTCCTAAACCTTTAGAGCGCTCCATTTACGAACCTCCGCTTCGGGGCTATGCAATTTTCCTTCTAATCGCGCGTTGTAGGATATACACTCCACTTTGGATAGAAGCTCGCGTCTTATCAATAGTAAAATATAAATCCCCAGGCGCGCACAAACTTGCAAAGTAACACCTTGATGAAGACGAGAGCTAAGCGTCTGCTGCAACAATATTGCATAAATTATACAGGACGGCCTAACGGAATTAAGCAAAACAAACACAAAAGTTATAAGCAATGTACCTCGTAAGCCTGTACATTACAAAGATAATTAAAAAAGTGATTTTTCTATTTGGTTTAGCAATATTATGTTTATGGTTAATATTCGATACGAGTCACATCTGAATATACGGTATGGTAAATTTCTTCCTTTCTTCCTATCCAACATATTTCTATACAGTGACATACAGTACTTCCCAGTGTCAGCGTACAAAATTTATCAGGGGGTAGACCAAAATAAGGTAAAAATTCTTATGAAATATTTTTCTGAGACGCACTCTACTGAATTACAGGATGTTTAGAAAAAAATAATAAGAACTTTCCGCAATAATTCAAAAACCCTTTCAGGGATTTAAGTAATTTTTGGGTAAAGTGTACATCTATTAAAAGTCATTAAAATTACATGGTGCTTATTTCGATCTGACGCCAGGGGCGGCCTAGGCCAACTTGTCCTCAGGGTTATGTCTTCATAGCTTTTGCATATCCTAGTTTTATGTAATTTGATTACGTTTTTCTGAATCTGCAATCGATTTTGAAAAAAAGTGGACTCTTGGTTCATAGCTCAAAAATCAACCGTTTTCGGAGTAAATTAGGTCTAAAGCATCGACTGCATTAGTTCGCAGAAAATTGCATGTAAGGATTTTACATATTTCTTGTTATCTATTAGGTACCTATCCTATCTAAAGAATATTTAGTGGGAACATCTTTCAACAGAATTGATGGTGCAGTAATTAAAATGAAATAAAAGTAGTTGTGTCGTATGCCTTCTGGAAAGAAGACAAACGGGTCTTACAAGTAACCCTAGCCTTCCTCTAGCGACTCCGTGTAGCAATTACGGGACGGATTAGTCTATTTCATTTAAAATCTTTTTAATAGCTTGGAAAATCCGCCGCAAAACCAGCTAATTGATATCGTTTTCTTTTTAAATTATTATCGGTTTAACAATTTAATTTAATTCTACTTTGGAATCTCTACGCTCTTCTCGTGATTTCGGGCGTTATTAAAAATATGGGTTTCTACGCTGACGCCTCCCAGACGCAACAGATGACTGTCACATGGCCCCGAATCTAAGCGAACTTGTTAAAAATATTGGTAAATTTCTCCGAAGGACGACGCTACCTACTTGAAAGCCCTCAACTTTCGATAATTTGTGTTGACTGAAATATTTTACTTTTGACCCATCCGTCCCGGCTTTTGTTACAGTTTTTTGGCGGGGAACCCCCTTAAGACAAAAAAATTTCTAAATTCAATGGCTTTCTAGCTAACTAATAATTTAAAAAAAAATCAAATGTGCGACCAAATTTTTCTGGTTTCAAAGACAAGGAGGCCCACGAAAAAGCGTCTTAAGGGGGTTTCTTGCCAAATAGCGTAGCACTGTGAGATTCCACATGTCATAAAACTCCTGAGTATCAAATTTAGTTATTCTCGTATAACATGGTTTTGAGGTATAAGAAAGAGTTCTTAGTTGCAGATTTCAGGGGGCTGTAACTCCGCAAGAGGGGCCAATTGGCAAAAAGAAAAAATACCGGTCCCCTAAATTTGTCTTAAGAATCTATGGCCAAATTTTGTTGCATGAATTTCGGAACACCCTGTATAAATCCGAGAGATTGCCCACACCCCTGGGACACCCTGTATTACTTACACTCTGTATATTTCCGTCTGGATTTCATAAAACTGGTAAAACGATTGAAAATACGTTTTGTTCAAGCCGTCCCTTTTTGTTGCAGTTCTCAGGGATGAATTCAAAGTTATGCCCTCTGATACGCGAGTAGCGGCGGGGGAAACGGCTCTCCTACAATGCGGAGCACCTCGGGGCCATCCTGAGCCTAATTTGATATGGAAGAAGGACGGGAAGGAGATGGATATCGACGGAAGAAGAATACGCATTGTAGATAGCGGGAATTTGATGATTTCTGATGTGCGACAGCATGATGAAGGTCGCTATCAGTGCGTTGCTCATAATTTGGTTGGGTCTAGGGAAACGCCACCTGCCACTCTCACCGTTCACGGTAAGTGAGCTGAATCTAAAAAGCTTCTTCCTCGAATAAGGATAAAATCCAAGCCTTGAAATCTTTTGAAAGCGTTTATTTATAAAACGGTTGGTTGCTATCTGAAGTTAACTGTTTAGTAGCTTATAAATTTTTGTTGTAGGTATTAATTTTGAATTTCCGTCATTAATAAGTATATGGTGATCGATTTAACTGGAGAAATGAGTTTTTCTGGGAAACGGCTGAGAAAAATAAATTATTTTAGAAACTATTGCATTTCTGATTATTTTACTTGAAGGTAGGGTCAAAGTACAGAAATTACCTTTACGACGCTAGGCGTCGCGGCGCTTCAATTATTTTTTTCCAGCAACGTACGTTTTTTAATATGCCACGATGAAAATCTCTTAATTTTAAATATTTTTCCTATACTATAACATTTTTTCATGTTCGCATTCTTTAAAAAGTTGTTAATAAGACATTAAAAACCTATTAAATGACACTCTGTTGTAATTCTCCAATACAACTAAACAGTGAAAAACAATTGCCAAATTTTTTATCTGTTGTGATAATTTTTGTCACACATTTCTAATAGCTGTTTTACATTGACAATTTATTGATGAATAAATTGACGAAGTTCTTCATAAATTAATTCAGGAATTTATTGATAAACAGTGTGGTTTTACATTGCTACAGACTTTATCAAGTTTTTTGACGCATGAATCGGTTCTACCAACGAATCAAAGAAGCAAATAAATTTCGAAAATGTCACATTTCCACTCATAATTGTAGTGATACAACGCGGTTGTACTGTTAAGTAACAAATCGGTAAAAATAATTTAAATATAAATAAATAGTACGACGCCACACAATTATTTACATATTCCAATAGCATAACCTCATTATTAATCTAAGGGTGGAAATCTGTTGGGTTGGTACTTCCGAACTTGATGAATAAATTCTTGAAGTTATTTGACAGCAGATTTGGTACATTACATTAGTCCAATTTCTTGATGAAACGACTTCATGAATTAATTGTTCAATAAAAATATTGGTAAACAGTGTGGTTTTACACTGCTACAGACTTTGTCAAGTTTTTTGACGTATGAATCAGTTCTACAATGAATCAAAGAAGCAAATAAATTTCAAAAATATCACCTTTCCATCCATAACGCAGCAGTTGTTCAAAACTATTTAAATTTGCACTTTGAAAATAAGTAGATAGGTGCTAATGGCCCTTCAATTTGCTCCGAGAGCCCCAGATTTAACCCCTCTTGATTTCTTCTTGTGGGGTCGTGTATAAAACTAAAACAAACAGTATTGATCATTTGAGGCAGAAAATCACTGCTGCTTGTGTTGAAATACGTGGCAATGTTTAAAAAAAGTAACGTCTAGTTAACCAAAAAAACGTTACAAATTGTGTTTAAATTTTAATGGTGCTCACATTGAACACCTATTAAAACATTAAGTATTGTGTTTATTTATTTTTATGTTTATTTATTCCAGTTGATATTTCTTTTCTACAATACATATTTCTTTATATTGTTGTGGCCTCTCTTATATGATAGGTGGGTTTGTAATTCTAACAAATGAAGGTAATTGTTGTATATACAGTTGTGTTATTAAATTGTTTATAGTGAATACGTTTTTTATTGTAAATAGAACCATAGTTATTGATATATTGAACCAGCAAAAGCTTTGAAAAAAATCTATATCGCTGACTACGTCGTTGCAATAATAATTATGAGATAGAGAAATTCACTAAAGAATTGACTTTTTAAATAATGGGAACATAAAGAAATGTTATATAGGAGAAATATTCATAATTAAGGGATATTTATCGTGACATATTAAAAAATATATGTAGCTGGAAAAAATTGTTTGAAGCGCCGCGACGCCTAGCGTCGTAAAGATAATTACTGTATTTAAGCCATACCTTCAAATAAAAATTATCAGGAATGCAATAGTTTCTAAAATAATTTATTTTTCTCGGCCGTTTCCCAGAAAAAAATAATTTCTTCGGTTAAATCGATCACCCTGTACTGTCTAATATACGGGGTGTTACTTAAGTGCCTCGATAAACTTTAACTCGATTTTTTTAATGATTTTAAGCCAAATAAGTTATATGAATATGGGTCCACAAATCAATAGTATTCGAGATAGAAGGACACGAAATATAAAAAAAATCACCCTTTCTAAAATATTTCTGATATTTAATGATGAATGATGAAGCTTAGATTATAAATACGCACCAGTGGCGGAGAGATAGGCAGTCGGCCGTACTAAAAATTCCATAAATTCGTCACCAAATGATATTTTAAGAATTTAATTACCTTGTAGTGTTTCTAAGAGAAAACATATCTTTTATTTTATTCGAAAACCGAACCGTGTTCGAATTTATTACTTTTTTAATTATCATAATACCAAATACTCGTGAAAATACAAAATGACTGAGACTACTCTTTTCTTAAAAAAGGTTCTTTATATCTTTTTGCTAGATAAATGTTATGATTCACGAAAAGGGGCTAACCCCTTCCCCCATGTCTACGGCACTGGCAGTTGAAATGTAAAACTACTAATTTCTTATCAATACAATTTTTCGGAAACGATAAAAATTGTGATAATTAATTTTTACTTTCCTTACTTTCTTTTATGCTACACTTTTTGTTGCAGCGTATGACCCCTGTTTTATTAATTAATGGTGCTCCTCATATAAAGCCGATGTATTTTTTATTTGAGCATTCCTTCTTTGCATTTACTCAGTTAAGCATGTGCGTCTGTTTATAATTAGTCGAGGATTTGTCACCTTCTGTTTAGTTCAACAAATATGTGGTTTTGATGTATGTAATGATCGCTCTCATTCTCCATTATCTGTTAGTGTCAGTTTTAATTATGCAAGTAAAAATATACTGCACGTTATACCTGGAAAGAAGATTTAATACCCTTAGGATCTGAATAGAGTTAGTTAAATTTAATTTTAAAGAAACGACAATATATTTTTAAAAGCTACAATAAAAATGATTGTGTGAATGGTTTGTAGAGCGTATGGAAAAAAAATAAATATCACTATCGGTTATAAAAACATCGTTTAGACATGTGCATCATACTCGGTTTAAAGAAAAAAATCCTAAACCTTGATTAACTTAAAATGTTTTCTTTAAATGGCTGGTATTTCTATCATCTATTTATTTAAATATCTCTTAAAATCTTTGACTTGGACTGATAAAACTTGGAGAAATCAAATGATTTAACTGATCAATATGGGAAAAAATTGGTGAAAATTCGAAATATTTGGAATTATTCAATTTTCGTGGCTGAACACATACATAGGTATTGAATTCTCGAAACCGAGAGAGTTGCACTAACCAAATTTGGACAGGCACATAGCTAATGCAATGCGAAACATCGCCTCACTATTAAAAATGTTGGCACCCCCGTTTTTGGTCGTGAAAATTTGAAATATTGCGAATTATTCAATTTCCGTGACTAAAAATATACATAGGTATTGAATTCTCGAAACCAAAAGAGTTGCACTAACCAAATTTGGACTGGCACATAGCTAATACAATGCGGAACATCGCCTTACTATTAAAAATGTAGTCACCCCCTTTCTTGATGGTGAAAATTCGAAATATTTGGAATTATTCAATTTTCGTGACTGAAAACATACTTAAGTATTGAATTCTCGAAACTAAAAGAGTTGCACTAACCAAATTTGGACTGGCGCATAGCTAATACAATGCGGAACATCGCCTTACTATTAAAAATGGTGTCACCCCCTTTCTTGATGGTGAAAATTCGAAATATTTGGAATTATTCAATTTTCGTGACTGAAAACACATAGGTATTGAATTCTCGAAACCGAGTGAGTTGTATTAACCAAATTTGGACAGGACATAGCGAATATATAAGTTGATACACAAATCTGTGAACGGAAATGCTAGGAGATGCCGTTAGTGACAACTAGAAAATTTTGATACCACAGAAATTTTAGATATTGAATGAGTCACTATCCTTTCTCATATTCATCAAAGGCTGGTGAACTTGAGATCGAACCCAACAAATTTTTGCCCATAATTAGTTAAATTGTGTTTCAATAATCTGTTAAATGTTTTAAGATATATTTAAATAAAGGTGATAATGTTTCAGTGCTGGAAAAGGAAGCATTCTACGACATATGTTTTTATACACATTTTTTTCTTATTTTAGAATGTTTTAAGGTCAGGGAAAAATGATTATTAACAAAAATATTTACAGAACGATTCTGCCCATAAATATAATAGTTTAAGTTCCTACGAAACTTTTTGGAAATTATAAATATTAAAATTGTTTTTTTTTCAATACTACTACTAATAAAAAAACTTATTAATATTCTAAAGTACTAGAGTGCTTAAATAGTACTTATTGAAGAGATAGTTGATCATAACTTTTTTGTAAGGAGTTTAAAAAAAATTAGCAGTCTGTGCCTAAAATCCATAAAAAATTTTTGCAAAAAGGTTGTCAAGTGAATAAACTTAACGTTTCCGAGAAAAATCACATTTGGGACAATATGTTTCATAAAAATTTCTGTACCTATATTATTATTTTTAAATTTCAATATTTTTAATTGATTTTTGTTACTACTACTAAATATACCAAATTTGAAAGTTATTCAGAAACTAGTAACAATGATGTATTTATCACCATCAGAAACTTACTTGTACAAGATTTCATGGCAACACATTGTTGTTTGAAAAAGATATGGCTGAATCTAGTTTTAAAAAATCTTTTTAACACTGAGTAGGAAGGAAACGTTTTATTTTTTTGTTCTGTCACTTCCTAAGTTCGTTTCTACATTACTCTGAAGCAATAAAATTACTGGCATAACAAACACAATTGCACTCTCAATCAGACTGATTTATTTGCGTATTTTCATAATTACAACTAAATATACAATAATTTTTCACCAAATAATTTTATTTACTCAAATAAATTTTGCCTGAAAGACGATTTACTTGATTTATGGTATGTTAAACGGATATATT